CAGACGATGGTCAGGACGATCTACCCAGCACTCCAACCACCGTGCCGTCAAGCTCAAATGTCTCTCGCCCTGCATTCAGTCTGCCATTGATGACATACAACTTTCGTCGCTTCAACGCCCGGATCGGCATCGTGTTCGTCTTTCAGAATCGCCTCATCCGCCTCTTCACCTGGCGAACGCCAACACACACCTTGTCCTTCCTAGCCACGTACTCGTTCGTCTGTCTCGATCCATATCTGCTTGTCGTGGTACCTCTTGCCATAGCTTTATTCTATATCATGATCCCAGCATTCACTTCTCGCCACCCACCACCTCCAACGCCCGCATTCGCCCACGGCAGTAGCACCAACCTTACAACGGAATACCATCAAGCATACACAGGCCCCGCATTAGCCCCGGCTGCTGTCATCAAGCCAGCGCCTGAAACCTCAAAAGACTTCTTCCGCAATATGGGTGACCTGCAGAACACCATGGCCGACTTCAGTAACGTGCACGACTGGCTCGTGGACAACGTCGCGCCAGCCACCAATTTCTCCGACGAGAAGTTTTCCTCCCAACTGTTTCTGTATTTGATTATTCTAACCACGCTTTCCTTCATCACCTCGCATCTGCTTCCTTGGCGATTGATATTTCTTGCTTTGGGATGGGCTGTTATTGGCTCCTCCCACCCCAGGGCACAGGCATGGTTGATGAAGATGCAAAAACAAGCCGAAATCGAAACAACCCTCGCGCTGAACGACCCTAATCTCAAACACCAAAAGTATATCCACGGCATCCCCCTCTCCGCCACGCCACATGCGATCAAGTCCGCGTTCACTACCTTTTCTGAGATCACTCTGTCAACAACCCCAGAGACCAGGGAAGTGGAGATCTTTGAACTCCAGCATCGTCCTCTAGCCAACGCTGCCTCCAGTGGAAATGCCGCCGAATGGCAGCCCCATCTCTTCACACCTTCTCCTTACGATCCTCTCTCCCCAGCGCGAATAGCAGGCGACAGGCCAAGGGGTACACGCTTCTTCGAAGACGTCGAACCGCCCGAGGGATGGGAATGGGCATCCAAGAAATGGGAGCTGGACCTCGAAGCTGGAGAGTGGGTTAACGAGAGACTCGTTGTGGGCGTCGAGTACGATGTCCTCAACCGCGAGTCCCACAATATCGGTGGGCCTCTATCAGGTCAGGCCGCCTCCGCCCCTGGAGACCACGATCAAGATGGCAACAGAAACGACAGCAACACAAGATTACGAAGAATCTCTACAACTCGCAGAGAGAGTATCAATCTCGACTTTGGGGGTTGGGTGTGGGATCTTCCGCCGATGCCCGGCTCCGGCGTCAACAGAGACGACGATCTATGGCTGGCATACGGAGACTACCACGTTCCTAAAGTAGGCGTACGACACCAATCCAAGGAGGAGGAAAAGGCCAGGAAGAAGAGAGAGAAGGAGCGGGAAAAGAGAGACAAGAAAGAGAAAAGTGGCGCGGGGAGGGACTGGGAGGAGGCGACCAGGGTTGACAGTCGTGGGAGAACGGGGGAATGGAGAAGAAGACGTTGGGTGAGATTGGTCAAGAGGAAAGTGACCGTGTGAGCACCGAGTGATATGAGTATATTAATGATGAACACGGTTTGATATAAAGGGTACGGGCATGACGGTTTCTACAACTGTGTGTGTGTCTCTCTCCACCTGCCCCTTAGAAGCCCTCTGTCGTTCAATGAAGGGACGTTGTCTCTTTCCAAATCAACTTACGAGCAGGAACCAGACGGCATAGGACGAACCCTAGGAAACTCCGATGTGGAAATTCTGTTGTGTTATTCACATCTCATGCCAATGTTGACAAGCTCAAAGCACTCTTTCGCGGCCGGCTGGCTAGCTAGCTATGTGATCACAAAGACGCCATTACGTCCTCCACCGTTTCCATCCAGCTAAGCACAGCCCCAAGTCCTCGCCGACTGAAGACCGTTGTCCTTTTTTTGCGTCTCTCGAAAAAGTCCATCCTCTGCGTATTCATACCGTGCGTGATTGCCGATGTATTTGCTGTGTTTCATTCCCTCCTTTCAATCGATGCTCACTCGCTCACGACCAATACTTCCAGTTAATGCATGTAGGTTTCCCCGCTCCCCATCCCAGGCCCTTGACCGTAAGTGCATCTTCAGCTTGTGACAGATATCACCCAGCAAAAGAAGAAAAAAAATCCTCCCTAGATGGCCGTGTGGTTGTTGACCCCCGAGAATGCAGGTTTCTCGGACCGAGCCACGCGAGCATACATAAAGCACAATGGTTGTAATGACCTCGCCTGATTTCCGTCGAATGTGGTTGATTGTTGAGGCGATTTTGAGAAGGAGCCCCAATATGTCTAAACCACCATTTTCTCAGAGACGAGTGCCTCCTTGCCCTCAACACCTTTGTTCTTCAATGCCACATCAGTATCTTTCCCGGCTGCTGCACCAAAGCCCATGGAATCGATCGCGCTAAGCTCTCGATCTGTCTCTGTCTTGCCATGTCCTGCCTCGAGCATATATGAAGAGGGTCGCGAGGCCGCAGAAGTAGTGCTGTTGGTCAAGGTTGCAAGGCTATCGGCAAAGGCAGGCTTTGAAGGCGTGGTGTTCGACGGCAGCGGCGAAGCTTTCTGTGCCTCGGGGTCGTCAACGGTGGAATTGACAGTCATGAAGAGTGAGCCGAGAGGCAGCATCACGTAGACGGATGGGAGGAGCATGATCTCTGGGTGCAGCATGCTAGTCTGCACAGGGACGATCTGTAGAATGCAGAAAATGACTTTGTTGAAGCGTTAGAATGGAGAGGGCGACAATAGGCAAGGAGGCACTTACAAGGAATGACGAACGACTGGACACACAACAACCCGATCAAATTCAATGCCGAGGCGTATGCACTATTTCTCGCAACGATGGAAGAAGGACGCTTCCAAACGATATCGACGACTGAAGCCATGGAGACCAGGCTGAAGCTCCCAATGCAGATTGTGTAAGCGGCGAGGTATCCGATGCGAGCATTGTATGCTTGGTTGAGAGAATCGTAAATTTCAGCGCCGTCCTGGCCAAGTTGAAGAATCTGTTGGATGCTGTATGCCATGGCGGCACCCAGGCCGGCCACGGAGGTCAGGATGAGGTAGATCAGCATGACTTTGTAGACAATTGGGTAGCGAGTTTTGATCCCCGTCATCAACCCTTTCGCCTGGAGCCAGAGACAGACAGCAGCGAAGATGAAGGCAAACCATCCTGTGACTTGGCTGGTGGCGAAAGTTGCTACGAAGTCACTCGTCCAGATGCTGTCAGTGAAGTCGAGGGTGAGGAAGGTGTAGGCTGAGGAGGACTGGAGACCAGCAGTGAGAGCCGAGACGATATCGATCATCAACTTGATGAGCATAAAGACCAGGCCGATGAGCATGAAGGTGTGGAACGGAGTCGTTCTCTTTCGAGTTGGAGTGAGGGCAAGCAGATAGACCAGGGTGGCCCAAACCAAGCCGGCTGCGAGTCCTCGGTTGGTGTTGTAATTGACGTTGATGTTGTTCCAAGTGTCAATGAGACGCCAGGTGACCTGGTTGAATGGAGCAGCTGGATAGGTTGGAACTTGGAACGCCTCATCGTACAGGGCGCCTCCGACTCCCGCGGTGGGCAAACTGCCAGCAGCAACAAACGCCGCAGTAGCCATGATGGTATTGACTGAACAGCAGAGATGCTACTGCAGTGAGGAACTGGATGCCGTTGGCGCACTCGAGCAGGTGATGAGAGCGGAGCGGAGCAGGAGAGAAGATAATGTGAGGTGGTGACAGTGAGAAGAGTAGGGAAGAGATGCAGAAAAAGTGAGAGATGTTGATGATGAAGGTGTTTGTTTTGATTCTGAAAAGCAATCCAGAGGACAAATGGCAACACGAACCAGGAGGTGAGGCAGTAAAAGAGGACGAGAGAGAGAAAGAGAAGTGAAGTAGAGGGGACGCAAAGTGAGGCGAAGGTGAATTCGCATCGTCCACTTCAACTCCTTACTCTGTCTTGTGCCCTCGCCCAGTATCAGCCTACCTCTTGCACTCCATTTCCAAGTTGCCATCATCTTGTCTGTCAATTCTTTCGAATCTTGGTTCGCCGTGTTTCAATTCATCCTCCTGATCTTCTGCACTGCGGAAGCGAGGCAGGCTGGAAAATCAGAGACATCGAGAACAATACTAAGCCTTTAATATTGTTCTCTCTTTTCCCCTCTCTCTGCACAGCGCAGCACTTCCCGTCTGTCCTACCCTAGACCCGACGCAATAGGACCGCGTAGACCTCTCCACATCGAGAACACCAGCTTGACCTTGTGCTGGCTGCAAATTCGGTCCTAGCCGAACACCGTTTCAAGAGTGACAGGGAGTGGCCGGGTCGACAGATGGCTGCCTCTATCAGCAGTTTGTGGATTCCGATGCTGTCAGCTTCCAATCAGTCTCACACATACTGCCATCCTAATCTTGAAAAAAGGACGGACAACGCTGGAGAACTGGGTGGTGGGTGGTTCTGTGCCTACCCTACGGGTATAGTGAACATATTCTCTTTCCTAGACAGCGCAGGTAGCCACAGACAATAAGCCTTCCGATCATGAGCCGCGTCGGGATGCAATTACTGTAGAATTACCTGGTCGCGGTGTGCGTCATCATCCAAAGAAGAGCAACCCATAAGGTGGAAAACAAGGCATGGCGAGTTCCAACGCTGAGTGTTGCCGAGTTCATTGTAGACCTGTTGCTGTGCTCTGTCCACCCTCCGCAGATGTCGCTTCCTTCGATATGTGCCCAAACAGCACTGCTCCTTCGATCTCCAGCCTCCTTTCATGTCGTCTCCTCATTCTTTTTGCTCCCTGACTGACGGTGATTGTCGACAGAAATGGGCGCCGTATCTCTCTTCTATCTGACAGCTTTCGGCGTAAGATTGTTACAAACCTGTTTGTTGAAGGCGACTGCTTAACATATCATCTTCCTAATGATCCGGTAGAGAATTCCTGGCTTTAAGACCAAGTCTTGACCAAATGCATTCGAGCCTCTACCTTGGTATGGCGTTGTCGTCAGGTCCTTCAATCAAAGCTTACCAATTATCGCAGACTTCCACCATACTTTCGTCCTCCTCCGCACATTCAGCAACACCAATGGCCCATATTTCATGCTCGGCGAGGACAGTAACAAGATCGGGTTGCCTCTGTCCACCGGCGCTCACCACAAGCCCATTATCTTGAGCACCGACGTCAATTTCTTGGGATCAGGTGGTCGTTGGGCCTTCGCTAGTGTGGTGCGGACTGAACATGCTCGGATTGCATAAGAACTCCGCCACTACGGCTGGTCATTGACTGCGCCGACAAATGCCTGGCAGCTGAAGAGCAGTTGCAGGGTCCAGTCGACAAAAGCACCGAAATACAGCTAGCCAGGTCCAGAGCGGTGACTCTTCTCCTCTCCAAGTCCTAACAACGGGCATCAGGTCGAAATTTGCACAAGAGATAACGAGAGAGTCGAAGAAGGTTCAAGCGAACCGAGAGTCCCAAATACGCCACAGGCTGTGCTTTGTACCACGGAACAAGACGCAGCCGACAAGCTAAATGTTCTCTTAGACAACCCCCAAGCTGCAGCGCGTACATCAGCGGAGGAACTAGAGCCCCGGCCAGATGAATGCTTATCTGGCGTTATCGAAGGGTTGCTGATCATTATGGTCGTCTTCAGTCCACAGAAGCCACTGCGAATCCTCCACAAAGCTCTCTTGATGCCCAAGATCATTTCCGAGGCGAAGATGATTGTGCAGCTCTTTGAGCGCTTGGCCGACCAAAGAGCAAGCGAAAGATTGAGGAAACGCAAGCAGCGGATTCGAACCTGGAAATTGAGGAAGCCCAGTCGGGTATCTCAGCTGATGATCGACGACAACATCGCAAGCATCAATTCTCAGGACAAGAAAACAGAAACACACACGCTCAAAAGCAGGCCACCAAAGCCTCAACCCCACATTCAAGGGCCTGTCGACCATCCTCCGCAACAAATACGGCTACGCATAGCAACTTATCAAGTGAGCAACCATCATGCCGAGAACCTGTGACCAGGCGAGTTGCGTCCGTACCATACGCCGACTATTCTGGTGCTGCCTCTGTGCCAATCTTCGGTGGCAGTACCAGCATTCAGGAGAAAAGATCTGTAATGACAAGCTTTGAACGTCTGGAAAGCATAGTGAGCACAAATATAAACAAAACAACAGTCGTATGCATTCCAGAAGACCCTTTCAAAACACAATAACCGGAAAGCTGATCGTGGCCGTGGCTATGGGTGATATCGTAACAGAGCAATGGATCACTGACACCCATCGATTTGGACGGGTTCCAGCACTTGAAGGGGATCTACCACTGGACAGATGTCGAGAGCGGCGATGGGATTTCAACCTCAAGGATGCTATTGAAAGGGGAAAGACCGGCTTGAGGCATCCCTTTTCCGGGATCATGGTCTTGCTCACAAAGCAGCTCAGGTCGGACTTGGAGAAATCGCCACCATGATAGGTCCAGAGGCATTTAAACGTTGTTTGCCTGCCTTCCAAGTCGAGGCCAAGTTCCGCGAGCCAGAGATCGACTTGAACGAGGATCTGCAAGATCGAAATCGAAGGTGCCCAACAAACATGAGGTCGGCGACATGGGAAGGAAGTGTGGTGAAAGTAGAAGGGAATCGGCGGCGCGGTTAACGACTTCGTATTCAGCCACGTGTTGGATGGTCGATTCAACGAATACGAGTATCCCTGGCCTCGATGCAGGGGGTGCGCTGTCCTCCACGCGAAGCACTAACCGAGTTTGTCGTTGTTGATTGAGGATATATCGAGCCCCCTTTAAATGGTCAGTATCTCAGACGGCGGTGACATGCATTTGACCTGATTATGACATGCAGGACGATGCCAAGAGAGCTGGGGCCACGCTTGAGCGCAAATGAATACCGAAGTTGGGTTGTTGAATTTCCGCGAATCCGCGACTAGGGGATCTGTTCAAGATCAGTCCAGACCGACCGACCGACCGACCTGCGAGGAGCTGGCATGGTTAAGTCAAACCAGTCTATCAATGGCCAATATCCCCGTTCAAGCAATGGAGCAATGCAGCAAAATACCTATCTCGAGATCAAGAGGCATGAGGTGTTGGTAATGCTCTCTCTTCAAAGCCAGGGGACGACAGAATTGCCCGAGAATTCCGCCTCGTGGTCTCTTGGCCCTCATGTGGCTCAACTTGAAACAATCCTCTGTCCTCCTTGAGATCAGATAACCCCCCGCCCTTGATGTCGACCTTTTCCAGCCTCAATATCACTTCTGAAACAGACGGCTGATAATGTATTCCTATTCCGCAGCATCCTAGTAGTGGAACTTTCCCCACATCGGTCTATGCCTGGATACTTTTCGCTTTCTTTCGCCTATCCGTAGGCGTCCCTCGCACTATGGCAGGACGCTACAGCACCGTTTCCCTCCACCTGCAGGAGAAGAGCTCTCCGACCCATGTTGACTAACTTGGAGGAAACAATGATAACGTCCTCGGCGGATAAAGATTGAGCTGCTCAGCAGACTTGAATCTGACCACCCTCCAGCCAATTGGTACTATGGAAGGAGCGGCGTGAATCGAAGTGGAACAAACACGCCACTCAGACGCCTTCGTCTATCTCTGTCACAACGCAAAGGCACAACAGGATCTACCCTGTACATCCCGAAAAGGTAAGGACAGGGTCTGCAATTTCACAACGGACCATCCTAGCCCTTGATGTCGATGGCAGCACAAGGAACCTCGGCGAGGAGGAGTCAGTATATCTTCATATCAAGTCCTCGTTCCCCAGGGATCTTTCTGAAGTCTCTTTCATTGTTATCCGAAGTCGCCCTTTTTGTTATAACCACGTTCGTTTATTGGCTCGAGAGTCGGAGACCCTCGCCGTCCATTCTTTATTCGCTGTGCGAAAGTGTCGTACGTCCAGTCCTTTGTCAGAGAATCATTCTTTTATAGCATTCAGCAGTCGAGCGTTCCCGGAATTCCCGACTTCGATTCCAATCCGGAACCCGTCATACCAGCACGCAGCATGTCCGTTCTTCTCACTACAGGCCTTGTGGCCGCTCTTGCAGCCTCGCCAGTATCGGCCTTCTGGCGACTGCCATGCAAATCCCCGATTGTGGTTGAGCGAGCCGACCCTATTGTGAACCCAGGGGCAGTATCTGGCCACTTGCACACCATCATGGGAGGAAACGGGTTTGATTTCGCCATGGACTACAACTCGACCCAGCGGTCTACTTGTTCGTCTTGCACGGTGGAGGGAGATTTCAGCAACTACTGGATCCCAGCCTTGTTCTTCCAACACGAAAATGGGACATTTGAAAGTGTCGACCAGGTCGGCGGCGCTACTGTGTATTACTTGCAGCGGGCCGGTAATGGCGAGACCTTGAAAGCCTTCCCTCCTGGCTTCCGTATGATTGCCGGAAACCCTTTCAAGCGAACTGGAGGCGATGATTTTGCAACCCAGGCTATCAGCTACAACTGCCTCGACTACAACGGTCCGGCTAAGCCAGAAACCCCCAACTTTCCCAACTACAACTGTCCCAATGGGCTTCGATCCCAGGTCTTCTTTCCCTCTTGCTGGAACGGCAAGGACTTGGACTCGCCGGATCACATGTCTCACGTCTCTTATCCCGCCAATTCGTACAACTCGGGTCCCTGCCCAGCCGACTTCCCTGTTCATCTGATCTCAATTTTCTACGAAGTCATCTGGGACACTGGGAAGTTCGCCAATCAGTGGTATGGGAATGGACAGCCCTTCGTCTGGTCCATGGGTGACCCTACTGGTTATGGGGGCCACGGTGATTTCGTTATGGGTTGGGATCCAGATTTGCTCCAGTCTGCTGTTGACCAGTGCACCAACGACAGTGGCCGGGTTGAGGACTGCCCTGTTTTCGACCTGATTCCAGACTCTCAGGCCCAAGGTTGCCGTATCGCACCAGCGGTCGACGAGCAAGTCAGTGGCCTACTCCCAGCTTTACCGGGTTGCAATCCCGTTCAACCTGGTCCAACCGCGACTCCTCAGTCCGGCTGCGGCGCACCAACTACCATCACTCCCTCCAACACCACCTTCTTCACCGACTTGACCGGCCAGGGGTGGTCATACATGGGCTGCGGAACCGACAACTACTTCAATCGTGTTCTGACCGGTGCAAGCCAGTCCAACGGTCAAATGACCAACGAGAACTGTGTTGCTTTCTGTGAGAGCAAGGGTTTCTCTATCGCCGGGTCTGAGTATGCTGATGAATGTTATTGTAAGGACCTGTCAATCTCCAGAAGTTGAGCTGCTAACACTTTCCTCCAGGCGGCAACTCCATACCTGACAGTGGCAAGCCGGTTCCTGGTGTTGTCGGAGCCTGCACCATGAGCTGTGCTGGTGATGACTCCGAGTTCTGCGGTGGTGCCGGGACTATTTCTCTTTACCAGAAATGTTCCGGTGATTCGTGCGCAAACGCTCAGTTCGGCCCCGGTCCTTCAGCACCTGTCCAAGTTGCCAACCCCCCGCCAGCCGGCTCGTCCTCTCCCGCTGTTTCTCCCTCCGCTGCTCCTTCATCAACCTCAAGTGGTTCTCATTCGGCGCCGGGCTCTCCTACCACACTTGCCACGATCACAACTTCCAGCGCTGCGGCCCCGACAGAGAGCCCCGAGTCGCCACCAACCAACCCAGCTTCGGTAAATACAGATTCTACTTCTCCCCCTAGTGATGATGATGACAGTGTCGAAGACGACGATGGCAACGATGCAAATTAGACAAATTCCGGCTCTGGACCCCATCCGCTGCTGCCTCATCGGCGGGTGGGTCAGATGTCGCCAACCCAACCAGTTTCCCTGATTCAACGACGTCGATTTCTCTTTTGACCATTACTCCTTGATACCCTTTGTGTCACTGCGTACTCGTTCTCTTCATCGTCCTCGGCTGACCCCACTGACATTGCTACTATCACCTCGTCTCCCTAACCTGTTATGCCCCAATTCCCTTCTTCCCAGTTCAATCCCAGGTTTGAGGTCCAAAAAGACCAAGGAGAAATCAAAAAATATTCAGTCTGACAGTTGTTAATTTAGCCTACCAAGAGCTCATCGTCCTCATCTTCACCTGCTACCGAGGCGTCGTCTACGCCCACTGTTCCCTCGTCATCAAACCCGTCTTGGTCTTACACCGGCTGCTTTACGGACACTGTCAACCCGCGCACCCTTGCGCAATGGTCAAACTTCAACGGCCCGAACATGAGCAACGGCGCTTGCGTCTCGTTCTGCGATTCACGCGGATATACTGTTGCGGGCACTGAATACGCCGGACAATGTTTCTGTGGCAACGAGATCACCACTCCGGTGTTGGATGAGGGTAGTTGCAACATGGCGTGCACTGGGGCAGAAGGAGAGATGTGTGGAGGACCCGGTGCCCTCAGTGTATGGACGAAGAGCGGCTCGAGCGGTAAGATGGTGAAGAGGCAGCAGTTCAACTACAAGCCGTGGAGGAAGATGATGAGGTTCTGAAAGTCGTGATTGCTATCGCTTCAAGAACGTTCCCCCATTTCCCTATTGCCGCTTCGAGGGAGACCGCAACACTATCGGCTCCTTGTCTATTGGCTATCATTATTGTTATTTTTATTCTTCACTTCTGATAGTGTATATATTGCATTCTTGATTCCGAATGGAGACGCCTAGACTGGCTGAGCATTTGACCATCTGCCTTGACGATGGCCACCACCACCCTTCATAGGTTCTCTTTGTCTCCGGGCCTTTTTTGGCCTTATCATTTGCTCCAAAGACCCAAGGAATGTGGTCTTTGTCTCCCAAAAGCGTCGTCCTTTCAGGTTCTTCTCTGCACGATCGCTGCTTTCGATCGCTCGCCTCTTCCCGGACCCGTCGACGTAGTTAGGGTACCTCTGAGACATCGCCTCTGTAAAAGACGTGGTAGTGAGAAAAAGGGTCGGAGAGACTTTCAAAGGTCAGGCTCTGGGGGCGCCAGCCCTTGTCTTATTCCGCCGAACCCTTTCCGCCTCCCGCCTCGGGGTTCGAGTAGGCTCACTATGTATCGTTGTGTAGGGACCGAGCGCGCGCGAAGAACATTGAGAGTCGACCTACGATGAACGGCTGACAAGGATTTGACACAGCTCGACACACAGGGAAAGAAAAGAAAAATTAAGTATGTAGTTGAAGCGGATTCTGGACAATATGCCCCCTTTTTTGGGAAAGTGGGACATTGAGCTGTAATATATAAATATAAAAAAAAAAGAAGTTGAGAATGTCCCCAGTTGGAGAGGTGGTTTTTGGTCACTATGTAAAATGCCACAGAGTAAGACAACGTTTTTCACACACGACTGTTGGTGAAATCATATCAGTACAAGCCTCGTCCGAGAGTCACTCACTCACGGTGCCGATCAGGCCCTCAAGCCCAGCAGTAAACCGGTACTTTTCCCCTTGCCACCTTCACCCTCGCCACCGCCGGGCAGATAGGTCACGTTGGGGTTCGCGGCCAACGTCTGGGCAATGTCCTTGCTCGCCTCGATTCTTCTGATCTGGATCAACCCGTCTCCAGCCTTGGCCACAGCTTTACTGATGATATCTGCCGACTCGGCTTCTCCTTCGGCACGAATGACGTTCGCCTGCCTCTCCTGCTCGGCCTTCTCCACGATAAACCTTGCTCTTTCTGCGTCCTGTTGAGCGATCTGTTTCTGTTCAACTGCCCTCGTGAACTCGCGGCCAAAGGTCATGTGTGTGATGGAGACATCCTCTAGGGCGATGTTGAATTCCTGCGCCCGACGAGTCAAGTCGGCTCGGATGCGTTGTGAGACGGCTTCTCGTTGTGTGATCAGTTCTGCCGCGTCAAATTGAGCCACGATTGCTTTCAGGACTTCGTTGCCAATAGATGGGAGAACTCTTTCGTCGTAGTCTTGACCAAGGGACTGGCGGTCAAATAGTTAGCTGTCTTGCACCATGAAAGGGATTGGTAGGAGACTGACCTGGTAGATCTTTGGCAAATTTTGGACATCCGGGCGATGGAGCACTCGCAGCGTCAATGACACCATCTGCAAGTCCTTGCTCCCGGTGGTGGTGCTGATGTTTCTGGGCTTCGTCCGCACATCGTAGATGATGGCTTTCTGCAGCCATGGTACGAGGAAATGAGTTCCTTCATTGATGACTTTTTCCTGGACACCAGAGAGACGGTCGAAGATGACGGCTCTCGTTCCACCTCTCACATCGTACATGGCACTTTGTGCTAACGAGGCACCGATGAAAACGGGGATCGCCCATCGTGAAATGGCGTTGAGGACGTTCGGCGCAGACATGGTGGTGAGAGGCTCAGAGGGAGCTGAGGTTGTGTCCAATCTTTTCTAGCTTGCCACCATCCAACAACGGATTCTGTTTCTCGTGTGTCGTGAACTGTTGATGTAGTCGAGAACGCAATAATATCGTAAGGTGAATCTTCTCCGCAGCCATGCGCAACCAACGCAACCTAGAGCTATCCATTACATAAGCTGGGCCAAGCCTTTTTCGAGACTGCGGCCGAGCTTCTCGTCCTTCACCTCGCAACTTCAACTAGGCACATTGACCTTCAGCAACAATCTCTCAACCTAACAGTGAGATTCGCCGTGGCTGCACAGTTTCATCTCCCAAAATGCGTCCTACCCCAGCTCTGCGGATGCAAGCTACCCGCATCCTCCGCTCCGGTCACGGCCCTGACCCGAAGAATGGAGTGTGCGTTCCAACTCACCCAACAGCCCTACTTTTCCTGCGACTTTGTAAACTAACGGACTTTGATACACAGGTACATTGGCTCGTGGGGAAATCTAGGTACGGGATTGTCCAGTCCTTGAAGCCCTCGGATCCTTCCCAGCAACATGTTGCACCTAACCACCAGCTTGCCTCTGAAACCACCAACAAGACATTGACTTTGGACACAGGGTCTCCGACACAAAAGAACATTGTCACGTATGCTATGTCGCCGAACCGACAGAACCCTACGTCTACCCTCCTTTCCGACGCCATCTTCAACACTTTCCGCCGATCACGAAACCAGGTTCTGTACTGGGTACCTCCCTTCTTGATTGCGTACTTGGCGATGGACTGGGCAACAGAGAGGTGTGTATGAGCTCGAGATGGACGTTGATTGTGGATAAGCGTGGAGTTGGATACTGACTGGGTTTGCGTAACACAGGAACGAATATCTCAACTCGAAACCAGGACGAGCCGAGTATGAAGAGTAGTGGTAGCGGCTAAACAGTCATTGGTGGAACACAGCATTGTACATAAACAGATGACATTGTGGAATTACAAGATAAAGCACATTCATTGTTCGCTCAACCACTTCTCGATCATGTGATTTCATCATGAGTTCCGGTCCTGCTCGCTTGGCGAAAACGTCTGTGATGGGATCTTTCTCCAGCTCCCTCCTTGCTAATAATCCAAGGTTAACGCTGATGGGTCCGGGTTTGTCTTAGACTCTTTTCCTTCCGAGACGTTTCAAGAGCCATGGCCGTCAGGGCTAGAGGAATACACGGCACGTTCTCGCCGCCCGTTACCAAAAAGCTGTAGTGACAGGTCGACTTCTCCGCAAAACGATGAACTTGGATGGTTTCCCGTATCGTCCTAACCGGTGTGGACAACATGTGTATGGCAAACCCGTCTCCAATGTCAGCCTTATTCCATCGAGCCCATATTAGCCCGGTCCTATTCTCGGCATGTCATGATGCTCGCTCAGACTACTAAGATAGCGGTTCAACTCTTCAACACGCTCCTTGTGCGTCTTGACACCTTCTCGTTTTAGACGCTCCTCAAGCTACAGTCACCGGACAGGTCAGCACGTAACAGGCGTAAAATTCTCATAGACCGAGAAGGTAGACCCCTCCACGAAAGTAGGTATGGATAGGATTGGGAGGAGAATAGAACGCACCCTTCTCCGTCTCTGCTCTTCATACCGTCTCTCGGCTTCTGTCTTGACAATGCCGCCGCCCTCTTCCTCGATGGGCTCGGCATCCCCATGGCCACCTCCAGTAGAATCGGCCCGTCGCTTCTGGAGACTCTTGGCCTCCTCAGCCGCCATCTTTTGATCCTCGTCCTCCAGATTTCTCAGCATGACTGATTGATCCTTGAACTCGTCGTCAAGCCCTTGTTCACCCCGAGTTCGATCCCGTGCAGGGGTCTCATTTCCCGAGGCCTTGGACGATGATTTCTTCTTTTTCTTCTTGTCGACCTTGGAGTCCTTGACGCCTTTGAGCTTGAGCTTGCCGGAGCCCGCCGCGGTGTAATCACTCGGCAGCATGCTTAGGGTACGTCGAAGAGATACTCTTCAAGCGGGGATATGACGGTAAACAAAAGTTTGTAGTCACTCGCCTCGCCATCCGAGGTGAGACGAGGAGAGAACAGCTTCTTGCACAGAAGAATGCAACTTGCAAGTCAAGACAGGGATGTCGGCCAAGGCTTTCTTTCTCCCCGTGGTGGAGGCACGTGCTCTCTAGTTAGATGCCAGTGAATGCCCCTGTTCAAACGACGGTCTAGCCTAATGCGGCTGTAACATCACGCTACTTTACATCACCGAATCCCATTTCGGTGAATAGCCAGTTTCATCTGGAAAGCCACGAACAGTTTGAGTGTGAAGAATATTACCTAACCACGAGGCTTTGTCCTGGAGAGGTTGTGCTCCAATTCAAAACAGATCGAGAAACCATTTTCATGATACATAGGGGAAAATTCGGCGAGGACAATTGTCTGGCTGGCTATAGAGGGAAGTCTCGCCCCGTACATACCGCGAGCCTGTCGGTGATGGTCAAAATTCCCACTAAAATCTGTCGAACTGCAGCCTGCGCGTCGAGGAGCCCTTTCACCAGCAGCACCTGTCTTTCCATACTGGTGGTAAGTCATTTGATGATTGACTGACCATCTGAACAGGAAGAGCCTTGCTGAAGCGAGGCAGCAGTCGTGGTCGCCTGTCCCGTAGTACTCGCTAACGTGGATGAATCCACCTCCTCCGTCGACAGCTTTGTCACCGAGGTGGGCTCGTCTGTTGGCGTGCTAGCCGCTGAGGGTCTCGTCTCTGATGAATTCGATGCCTCTGGAGTTCTCGTCTCTGAGGCTGTTGGTTGTTCCGAGGTAAAGGTTGTTGAGGGTGTCGCCTGTGAAGAAGGCTTCCCTGGCGATGTTGATAGGCTCGAAGGCCCTGGTTTCGGTGGGTGTGGCGTTGGTACTGTTGTGAACTTTCTCGGTGGCTAGGGTTTCCTGCTGCTGTCGCCAATGCGATGGCCTTAGTCATCCTGACTCGCCTCTTTCTTGTCACTTATCCGATCAGCCTCGCCGTGGATACCGGAGGACTCTCGGTTGGCGTTGTGGGTTTGTCCCTGATCGGACGGTGCTGAGTCTTCGCTGTATCAGTTCACAGGAACGTGTTGGTGGAGTAGGAAGCTGTCATCATACCTACTGTGTAGCGACGAAAAGAAGTCGACATTTCTGTAACGACTTGTCGTCGGCATATGTGACAGCCTGATAGCCTAATCTGCCATCTCTGGCCGGGTTCTTCCAGCCTGCCCATTCCATGTGGGACAGGTCTGAACACAACCAACTCACACACACACACACACACACACACACACACACACACACACACACACACACACACACACAC